TTGGGTCTGCCTCTTCCGCCGGCCCCCTTCTCCTGCATCACACGCTTCTCCCTCTCCGGCTGGCTCAGCAGCCTGTCTTGCTGCTGCTGCTCTGTGCCTGCTGCCGCCTGAGTTTCTTTTCAACAGGCTACACGCAAAGCACTGGCCAATCAGCCCAAACTGAAATCTCCCACAGAGCACGGCTTGCTTGTTCTGCTCCGTAGACGATCCGTGTTTCTCTGGGGGGGCCAGGATGGGTTCTAGGGGGTCGCAGGTGCAGGTGCAGGGCTAGCGGGGGGTGGGAGCCACGTTCCCTCTAACCTTTCCAATTCATGTGCAGGTTTTTTCCACCCAAGTGTGGAATACATTTTGATGTGCACTGAGGCCTGTGTGAATGTGCACCACCAATAGAAACAAGCCGAGCAGTGGGCGCTCTGCTACTCAGCCGGGTGGCACTGGAATCTCTCCCAAGTACCCAGAGCCCTGGTGGCAAGCAGGCGAGCTGCGAGAGGAGGGTACATGCTGGCGGGGGGGCTGTAGGCAGCGATGGTGGCGAACCCCTCTAGGAGTGGCAAGCGAAGGCGGATTCAGGCTTTCTGGCTGCTGCGGCTGGGAGTGGATACGTGCGCGGGAGGCGAAGCAGGCTGGTGATCGCTGCGCTGGTGTGAAATGCTAACGAACTTGGCGCTTGATCCCAGCGCGCAGAGGGCAGGCATCGTCAGCGGGAGAACGGCCCCTTCCTCCCGCGAGGACCCTGGCTCTGCTCCCTGGCAAGCGAACGGAAGCGGAATCCGCCATCGGCACGGGTGTGACCGGCGCGGGGGGGCGGAGGACTCGCGTGTTCGCCGTGTGCTCTGGATGAAAAGCCTGAGGTGAATGTGATCTGAGCCACACGGCTCAGCAGGCTGCCTGCGTCAGGCCACGAGCTCTTGCGTCTTCTCCCTCCCAGCCTGAATTACGCCCCTTGGGGAGATGCAACATGGTTCTTCAGTTGCTTCCGCATTCCAGGTGGCTCCTCGGCAGCGTGACGGATTGTCGGTTGCAGCCTCCGGCGGTGTAGCTAGCGGTGTAGCCTCATCTACCAGGGCTGCCCTGGACCGGCCTGCCAGCTCGCCTGTCGCTCCTGTTCTTGCGTCTTCTCCCTCCCAGCCTGAATTACGCCCCTTGGGGAGATGCAACATGGTTCTTCAGTTGCTTCCGCATTCCAGGTGGCTCCTCGGCAGCGTGACGGATTGTCGGTTGCAGCCTCCGGCGGTGTAGCTAGCGGTGTAGCCTCATCTACCAGGGCTGCCCTGGACCGGCCTGCCAGCTCGCCTGTCGCTCCTGTTGAACTGCTCTTGTTAACACTGTCCTGCTGCCTTCCCTGCTCAGGAGAGGAAGCGTCTCTGCAGCTGGCAGCTGCTGCCTTTTCTGGCTAGATTTTAGTTTGCTGATTTCCAGTGTTGCTGGAAAAGTTGCTGCAGCAGCGGGCGTAGGAGGAAGGGGATGGGCAAAAAGACGTCAGAAACCTCTTAGCGAACTGTGGGGGAGGGAGGGGAGGTGTTACTGTGTCGTCTGGCTGAACAGTTCCCCGGGCATTGCTTATTTTGGGGGCCAGTCCGCATGGCTAGTTGTGAGCAGGGCCTGGTCCTAATCTTTGCGCAGGGAGTTTGGGGTAGGAAGTCAAGTGCCAAACGAAGTCCCTGACATGTGAAAGGGGGGTGGGGTTCCTTGTGGAAACAGCCCTCTCCACTTGTGGGTTTTGGAGCGAGGGGCCTGCTTAGCGTTGGAGCCGGCTGCCTGTAACGGAGCGGTCCCAGACCAGACTAGCCCAGCGCCACCGGCCGTGTGGATGCGCGTAGTTAGCCTGTTAAGAATGGGCTTAAGCCAACCAGAAATGATCGTCCACATGGGTGACGCTGGTGCTGACCAGGTCACCGGGCCGAGCTCCCGGCCCCTTCCTGCAAGGACTCTGGGGGGCGGAGGGAGCCTGGGTTGGGATCCTCGTCACACCGGCTAGGGCGGTCGGAGTGATTGCCCAGCCAGCTGCCGTGTCAGCGCTCGGCCGGGGGGGGGGGGGGGTTATTTTACCACCCAGAATGGGGG